TAAATGATACCATATTTTTTTGAGGCTTAAGTATACAGCAACACAATAAACCAATTGGTTGCTATAGCAGCATATTCACATACATTTTCATTTCTCTCTAGTTTCTGGCAGTTTGCCCTCCCTCCCCTTTTATTTCTATTTTTTGTTATATACCCAGCACATTTGTGAAAACCTATATGAGTTTGATGATGTGCATGTAATGGGTACTGGTATGGCACATCTTTAAATCATGATGCTGCAATCTTTTCAGTCACTCTTGTAGACCTTTTCTTTAAAAATAATTTCCTGTGTGCTCAATATTTAATATTTGGCTGCCACTGGAGAGGAAATGTATCTGTTCTAAGAAATGCACCCTATCATTGATACTATCACCTATCATATTCTACTGCATTTGAGATATATGTGAATAGATTATATTTTTAGAACATTCTTACATTAATACTTTGGTAATTTTCCCATTTCACAGATGAAGAAAACTAAGAATTGTAAGATGAAATAGCGTAATTTATGCAGTCATACATGCAATAATTACTTACTCCATACCTATTTATTAAGTAACCAGCACTATTTTACCATGTGCTTGAGTACAATGAATAACAAAACGTTCAGAAGCTTTGCCCTAATGAAATTATACTTCAGTGAAGAAGACGGGCATTAATTTTTAAAAAAGTCACACAAGTGTTTCATAACTTACAACTGAAATGATCATTCAAAGTCAAAAGCTGGACTAATTCCATAGCATCTCTGGGACTTGAACTTTAGAAGTAATTTGGAATTACTCTAAAATAGTACATTTTCGTCACTGGGTCAGGTTACACTTTGCCGTTCTTGATGACATTCTGTTTATACACAAGGAGAGATTTCCTACCATCTACATGCTTAGTGAACATTTAGAAAAAAACAGTAACTGTGCGAAAGGTATGTGTATGTTGGGAGAGAGTTTGAGGAAATGAGGAAGAGAGGACCACTTTTATGCTTCCAGTCTCAGACTGTGCTAAGAAACACTGATAATAATATCACCTATTGTAGCCTAGTGCCTACTTCCTGCGATATATATGTGGAATGACATTGAATGGGTTATATTTCTAGAATGTTCTTACACTGACGCTTTGCTATTTTTCTCACAGATGGGATGGAGGCTGATGATACCTTCTGTAGGAGGCTGTCTCAAAAGGCATAACTAAGTCCCAAGTAAATAGTCATGTGGTCTCTGGCCTGGAGAAATGCACAAATAGCTAGGTAGAATGAAGCTCATTTTTTGTTTGACTTTTTATGTCATTAGACTCACTCTTTGGACATCATGTACTATTTGACTTTTTAGCTCCATCAGGGGTTTAGTTTAGTTTAGTTTAGTTTAGTTTAGTTGTTTAGTTATTTAGTGTTTGCTTCCAGTACTGAAGATAGCATTCAGGGGCTTTCCACTGAGCTACACCCCCAGATTTATTTTTTAATGTTTTAAGATAGGGTCTTGCTACGTCTCTATATTGCTCAGAGTGGATTTCAACTTTTGATCTTCCTGACTCAGCTGCACAGAGTTCTGGGATTACAGGCGTGCACCACCAGGCCTGGCTACCTGCATTACTGTTATTCCTTAGTTTAAGTTGATTTTCTTGAAGCACACATAATTTCTGACTTGTCTCTTAAAACTTAAATACAGGGTCCAGGTTTCTACTTGGCGATTTGTATGCTAACTATTCTTATAAAAGGATACAAAGAGGATATGGATTTGAGGCTTGGTTGGTTAAAAAATAAGTACATTCAGTCTTTTTAAACATCTGCTTTCTCACTTCTAGTATGGGAAGAATGACACCTATCTTTTAGATTTGCTGTGCTGTGAAAATTAGTTGACATCCACATTTGAAAACGCTTACATGATTTCTCGTTGTCAATTTCTCATCCTCTGAACACCAAATGTTTTTGCTTTCAAGATGGAAATCTTTTCACATTGGTTTACTTCCATCATAAATATATTGAGTACAACTAACATATTCCACATATATAAAGTATTCCTACTCATACTAAAAAGGCTAGACATACCATCACGGTGCAGAACCTGTGTTTATTGTTTTTCCTAACCTGGAAAGACAGATAGTGAACAATAATCCCAGACTGTAGAGTGAGGCCAGATGAATATGTAAAATGAATATGATACATTGGCAGCTGCTCTATTTAGTTTTACAATCTCAAAAACCAGTGCTGGTGGCTGTGCAGTCAGGTTTTCTATGGTGAGGCCGCTACAGGCCTTTCTGGCCATCCTAGGTAGCCGGAGCCCGAGGGAGGCTGCAATTGTAAATTCTGCAAACACTCCATGAGTCAGAAATGTAAGTATCTCGCATTATTAACATGCCTTCCATGTGCTACTTCTGACTGACACTGGAAAATATAGGGGTCTATTCTAATTCAGAACTAGTTAGTGGGTCGGGCTGTGTCACTTACAAGCTGGCAGCATCAGCTGGCAAAGCAAATAGCAGGCAGTTCACAGATTTATGAGGCGTTGGCAAAAAGCAGAAGGAAGAAAAGTGAGAGTAATGGTTCTAGAGGACGAGAAAACTTGTATTGGCCTCAGAAGGTGGAAAACAGCAGGGTCTACAGTAATAGAAGCATCTTATAGCCATATTCCCTATGATACAGATGCAACAAAGAAAAATGACCACACGTTTCCAAGTAAGCACCTTAAACTGATGACCCACTGTTAAAGAAAGCGGGGCCATATTTAACTTCCAGCTCGATAGAATTTCATTCTCTTCCTTTGCAATGAGAGGCTACCAGACAACATCTTTTGTACTCTAATCTAAGTCAATACAAGAATGGTTCTCTTTATAGAAAATACTGTTAGAGATAACCATCTAGGATTAAATCTGTTTCTAAAAGAAAAAGCCATCGATTAAAGAACTCTTCCACTATTTGTTTTTGAGGACATGAAAACAGCATAGGCTGGAACCTCAAGGTGTACCTCAAATTTGTACATGTAATAACTGAAGGTGGGTGTGTTCACCACTTGCAAAAACCTGTTTGCATGTCCGATTCCTTTGCAGGAGTTTGACTTCCCAAGGACAGAGTTCATGTATTTCTCGGCCTCTTCCCTATGTGCTTAGCAAAGCACTCACTTTGCAACAATTTAAAGACTATTTTCACTATTGATTTTAATATTTAAGAAAGCTCCCAACTCCAGATTCCTGCAAAGAAATCACTCCTTTCCCGAAATCACTCTCAAAGTTTCAGCAAAGGTCCTCCCTGTTAATTACCTGGTGAAGACAGAGGGTTACAGGGGAGTGGAAGAGTCATCATTTCTAAATCGACCGGCTGTAGCAGGAAGTAAGCTTTAGACTTCTCCCGGGAACTAAGAAATGTAGCTTCCCTTTAACACAAGGAAAATCCCCCAGGGACGATGCTTTTCTTTTTTATTTGCCATAATCTCCTGCCTGCCTGAGCTGAGGAGCAGATTTGGAGCACTAAAGGAGCCCTCCGTGAGGACGTGCACGGGGCTGCTGGCCAGAGGCCAGAACTGGCCCTGCAAGCACAGGCAGCCTGGGAACAGGGCATGACTCAGCAACATCTGCGGCTTTGCCTGCAGAGGCACGAACGGGCAGGCAGTGGAAAGCCAGTTCACTCAGAAAGAAGCCATAAGGAGCAGGAACAAGCAGTGCCCTGGAGCATCTGCATATCCTCCCTTGAGCATGCCTCCCCAGAGGCTAGCCAGGTGAAGATCCTGCTGCATTTCTTCTCAGTTCTTTAGCAGCAAAGCAATCCTGGTTTTTGGTAGATGGGGCACAACAGGGATTTAGCAGTCTGGGGAGTTGCTGAGGCCTCGAGAGAATGCATCTATGATCCAGACACCGACAAATTGATTGGAGCCCAAGTGCTGAGACTCGCAGAGCAACAAACCTGTGATTTTATCCCTGGCATAGAACAATCAGTTAAAAATGAACTTGCCCACATGGTGCATAAAAATATGCAGGACTCACTTTAAGAATTTAGCTTAAATGCTGGAAATGTGAACCGTGTGAGTAAGAAGTGCCACACGCGTGACATTTGATGACTTACTGTCTTGTGCCGGTGGAGGATCATTTCATTTAAGGTTCAAGCTACATTTTGCTCAGTGTTTATTGAATTCAAAGTCATGCTAATCTGTGTAAAGTTTACATTTTTGCATAAGGCAAATTCAGTTCTTACGTGAAATATAAATATTCAAAGGTGACTACTTAACTTAATCTGCATTTAACGGCAGTATATTTTAATTCAGGTGCAAGCCACATAGCATAAGGCAAAGAAGTTCAACTTAAAACCTCTGGGGCTGTCATTTATTCATACATCCATGATTAAAGAAATACTTGGTGCTAAAGTGAACACACCAAAGAGGAAAAACTAGGATGCCATTTGGACTAGGAGATTACATTCCCCGGGGAGTGATCAGTGCATGGGTTAGTCAGCAGAAGTCACAGCTTGTTGGCATCCTCACTGTAGAAGAATTCTTACTTAGACAGGAATTTTCTTAAAGGACCCATTGAAAGGAACTTAATAAAGTTGGTGTTAAGGAAACATCTTCTGGACTCCATTGATTCATGTATTACGTATTATGTACCTGAGATACCACTATAAAATGAGATGCATGATTCAAATATCACAGAAAATACGTCCGTGTGGCCTTGTCATTTTAGGAGCTTAAAGCAAATGAATTTATTTAGTTTGTATGCATGGGAAATGGTAGAGGAAGCAGTGAGGGAAAAGTACACAGAGAAGAGGAAGATGGAATAAAAAGGAAGAGAAGAAAGGGGAAAGAGAAGGGAACAAGAAGGAGGAAAAGAAGTAGAGGAAGAAGAGAGGAGGCAGAGAAAGGGGATGGGGAAGAAAAACAAAGGAGGTTATAATTGCACTATAATCATGCTATAATCTAAAATCAGTGTGGTGAAACTCTCTATGGATTACCATGACCCAATCTAAGATAAATATTTAATCTGTGCTTCCAGTACTTATTTACATAATGCTTTTTTTTTCCCTAGGCTCTTCAATGGCCAACAAGGAATTATTATTCAAAATTTTAGCACAAGATCCATTCTCACTGTCACCAACGTGACACAGGAGCACTTCGGCAACTATACATGTGTGGCCGCCAACAAGCTGGGCACGACCAACGCTAGCCTGCCTCTTAATCGTAAGTAACACTGAGCTGCTAGGATGTGCCCAGGGCCTCCTGGCTCCTTGACATCAACAAACACAAAAGTTAATGTAGTAGGTTCCCTGTAGAACTTGGCCTTGTGTGACACATTCCTTATGCAGAGGAAACTTTGTCCCCAAGTAATATAGGTAGTTGAGAATTTTGAATCCCTACTGATGTCTATATGTGTGTAGAAAAATAGCTCTGAACTGAGAAAAGGGAAAAATATATACATAAATAATAGGACTAACCAAAACATATCTTCAGACTGAGGATTCAAAAGGCTCTGTATTTCAATATTTTTAAAAATGTATTCTGTTATCTTGAACCATAGATGACTTGAATTGACTCTTCTTTGGTTTTCTTTAGACATTCATCTTGGAATAGCCAGAATTTCAGAGAGCTTTAATAAAATTAAATAGCAAGTAAATAATATGGACAAAAACTTTATTCATGTACATAATATTTTTATTCAAAATGGTGTTTTGAAATATAACTTGAGTTTAATAAAATAAATGCCACCTTGTTAGTATATCAAAGTTCTTATAGATGAGAAATGAATAAAGAGGAGAAAACACAGGCTTAGCAATTAATTTTAGTGCATATTAGAAGTTAAGTAATTAATCAATTGCTACAGCTAATGATATTCCTAACACTCAAATCTGAATGTTTCTTAAAATGCTCAAAATCCAAGAAATATTGCACCATCTCTTCAATTTCAAAAGTTTATCTGAATCAGCTGTCTTTGTGGTTCACATCTCTCTATGCACTTTAGATATGTTTTCATCCTGTGATAGTACGTTACCTTAGAAAACCAAGTGTTGTGTAGATCTTCCCAGGAATGAGCATGTCCATTTTGCAGAAATGAGAATGGGATATACTTAAAAATATACTACATGCAAAGTTTCATCATTTATGAACTTTGAATTAGCATAATTTAAGAACCTGTGATGCTTAATAAAATATACAGTTTTACAATATGTCTTTTATTATCTTAATATTTCTGTTTGAAAGAAAAACATTGCTTGTCATGCCATAGTTATACTATAATATCCTGTTTAAGTTTCTGCCATGAGGATGATTATTTAGCATAATTATGAGTAACATAAACCATGGGCAATATTGTAGAATAGAATGTATTTTAACATAATGTAAATATTGATAGTTCTTTGGCACACTATTAATATTTAAATGGTTTAAATAGTCCAAAATGTTGGAAAAATAAGTGAATTTTAGAAACAAACTAAAAAATTAAGGGTTAAAACCATATTCACTTTTTGCTGTTAAAATTTTAAAATTGCATCCTGACTTTCAAAACTGAACTATTAACAAATGTGGCAAGCGAGGAACAAATGTCAGTTACTAAATATATTTTATCATTGCTGAAAATGAAGAAATGACATATTGGTAAAAAGCCTCTTGAATATGAAACGTTGGGATGGACTTTTGTGATTTCTGCCACTGTTTTTCTGAATGTTGAGGTGTTATTGAACACTAGTACAATTCTTTAGATTTGTTAATGAAGACAAATATGCAGATCTACTCTAATTTTAATTAAATATCTATATATGTAGAACCCTAATTTGACATCATTTGAAACTCTTATTGCACTGGGTATTTGTGTTTTATACTATAATAATTTTATTTCTTTATATTTGACACTGGGGATAAACTGGGGCCTCTTGTATGCTAGACGAATATTCTACCACTGAGATACATTCCCAGCCCTGTTGACTATTTTTATACATGTTTTTCCATCAAATCCCCACTTTTTTGAGAAGGCAGGGTCCACGACTGATAAGATATTTTATCTCTTATATCACAAAGCACAGAGCCTGCTATTAAATAAACAAGTAAATAGTAAATGAATTAAACATTGAGTAAGCGAAAAACGTTTTACAAGTGAAAGAATGAGGGTGTTCTGTCTTAGCTGTAGTATGTGCTCTTCCTGAGATACAAGGCAGTGTCACTGTAACTACAAATAACACTTATTGTAGACTGTCTGGACCAGATTTTATTATAATTACTTTATATGAATTTGTTCATTTCATTCTTCCACAATTCAGAGACAGTGATTCTATAATACCCCTTTTATAGAAGAAATTTAAAGAAGTAATATAAATATGGCCAAAGTCAAATAGTAAATGACAGAGGAAAAATTTAAACCCTTACAATCTGGCTTCAGAGTCCAAGTTTTTAATTAATACATGCATTGCTTATATTTATGAACGTAAAATAATCCTAGCAGTCTGACTGGGAGGTCTCAGTCACAGTGTGCTTGCCTAGCGTGCCTGAAGCCTTGGATTCAATCTCCAGCAGACCAAACAGCAAAAGCAAGACAGGAAATCCATAGATTGAGAGATAGTTTGTGTTATTGTGACACACTCTTCCGAAGATAAATCTGTACATATAATTGTCCTTCTGGTGGATTTTATCATCTTGTCTTTAGTAATTAGGACTCTATTCTTTAATTTATGAAATTTTATTTGTAAAGCAGATGGCCATATATCTCCCTCATATCTTCAAAGTTGTATCTTCAAAGTCTCTGAATGGAAATGTACTCAACCTTTCAAATGATCCAAGACTAAAAACCAAGCCTAAGCTGGGACTTGCTAATCAATTTTAAAAATTGCTAATGATCAGCCCTTTTTATACGTGAAAGAGTATATATTTCTTAATTTCCCATCTCTTGGTTGAGGAGCAAGGAGATAGGTGGTACCTTCTCTACATGGTGATAGTGGATGCTCTGAATAACTTTTTCTGCTTTGATGATTTGCATACATGAATAGTTAATGAATTCAAGACAGGGTGATTGGAAATGTAGGTTCCCTGGTACAGTGCTAATCAATATCACACAGACAAACAATGATAATAGCCTTTCAACTGAGATTTAGCCACTAGGAATCAGCTACTTATCCATACTGTTTACGATAAACCCTGAGACAATTACAAGACTATTACAATCTTCCTCTGGCTTGTAGCAACTAACACTTTCAAGATCACTGAGAAGATAAAAGGCAAGCTGGAGTTCAGAGCTTTGACATAATGAGGCTATCAAAAAGGACGCATAGCACTTCAGAGCATGTGAACGTGTTTGTATGCCTGTGTGTGACAGTGAGAATTATGTGTGTTCACAGAGAAAGTCATATAGGCCTTGATTTGAATCTCATATACCATACATCAGTTGTGTGATGTTTTGTGATCTGTGTAAATTACTTCAATTTCAAATCCTCAGTTAACTCATTTATTAAATGAGGTAAAAATATTTCCCATCCTTAGAATAGGAATGATTCGGTATAATGCTCTTAATGGACCAGACATTCAATCTACATCAAAATAAGCCTTTAATAAGTAAATGTGAGTCACTATTACTGTACCGTTCCATCCCCAAGAACACTCAATCAGTTCATCTCAATTAACCTATTCATCTCAAAGCTTGCAATTTTTTTGGAATTTTTCCATGAAATTCATATGTATTACATAGAACAGTTCAAGAAACAAGAATTTGAAGAGAAAAATTTGTATTATGTTCCCTTCTTTTGTGCTGTTTCAAAAATGGAACCCTAGGCATAAAATGATTAAGTTCATTCAAAAGCATACATAAGCAGATGACTTTATGTGATGACTTTCTGTCCACTACTTTACAGAGAGCTTAATGGTAAACAGTCCTCCACGAACCAAGGACAGGGAGGCACACAAACTTGAAATAATACCACAGAACTAGCTCACAAGAGAACGTCATCCTTTCTTTGTAATTTAATCAGATTTGGGGGCACCAGTTCCAGGCTAAATGTGATGCCTCTCGTGTAGTAGTGTAGATATCTAGGAAATTCAGAGGAAAGGCAAAACCAGTACTCATGGTTCTATTTTGATTCGCAGTTTGTAGCAACACTTATTTGTCAAATATGTATATCCCCTGCCTACAGCGTATAAAGACTGACTTGGATGTTGGAAAGAAGAGGATTCATAGAAACAGAATCCAACATCAGGGAGTTCTCTGACAAGTGAGAGGAAATAGACAAGTAAACAGGCAACTGTAGCAATATGGTCAAAAGTCTCAGTCAAGGTCTAAGAAAAGGCTCTCAATCCAGGTTCAATGGCTGGGAAAGGACTTTCTTCTAGAGTAACTAGTATCACTCTTTGAATTTTAACTAAGGTGCAACTGGAAACACCATTGTAGCCATCATTTTCTCATTTTCAGAGACCACACTTTGTGGTTCATTCAACAACAATCGTTAGCTCTAAGTGTAGTGACTGAATGGACAATGGCCAATTCAATCTCAGTGACTTCAGGCAAATTAGAGAAGAGATGCCCTTTGAACATTCTGTTCTTCCTGCAGGCTGGACTCTATACCCAGACATCCACTGGATATTGCATCAAACTGAAAATGTCAAAACACTGAATACATGCTTTCCTTTCCATCTCTAGCTCCCACCAAAAGAGAAGGTCTGAAATCCATTTGTCTTGGTTACTTTTCTCTCATTACTGAGACAAAATACCTGACACCCAAGGTTAAAGGAGGAAAGCTTTATTTAGCTCACAGTTTGTGAAGATTTTCAGCCCATGATCAGCTGGCTCCAAGGCAAGGTGGCACATGGCAGGAGCAACTGTTCAAGGCAGCAGAAGACAACAAAAGCAATAAGAGCAAAATGGGAGGAGCTTGACAGAAGCCTTTCTGTCCCTTATATTTTATGCAGGCTACCTACCCTAGGGTGGGTGTAGCACTCACACCCCTAATCCCAGCATAGGCCCATGAATCAACCACAAACTCTGATTGAAGTCCACATCAATGGCTGCATGAGGCCATGGGGGTCATCTAGATACAAATCATAATACCATCCATTGTTTCTGATAATTGGGACGTTATTGGTGATCCTTCTCAGAACAGGTGTAAAATTTATAGTAGAGACCATACAAAAATGTAGTACATGTATGGTGAAGATTTTGCATCTCCATCATGTGTTCAAAAACTTCTGAAAGATATCTACATTTTTAA